CGCCCAGGCGAAGTTGGCAAGTCCGACCTCGGAGGTGGTATCTCGAGGTCGACGTGGCTCATCAGATGCAATCGTCAGCGCCAGGTTGACTTGGTATGTGCGTTGTGCAGGTGACAAGGCCTAGCACACCAATCGTCTGCGAGCACCTGCAAAGCTGGTGCGCTGCTGTTCTGCGTGAGCAGCGCTGGCACGTCGTCAACCTGCGATGTTGGCACGCTGTCGACGTTGCACTGCTAGAGCGCGGTCGACCAAGTCGTGCTGGAACGCGGTCGACCGTGCTATGCTGGCAGTCGACCTGCATGCATGCTAGCTCTGATGTAGTCTTGCCATGCCAACTGCATTGTACCATTGTTGTCAACTTTCTCTAGTGAAACTCTTGCCAACTTTCCCCGAGAACTAGCAAGCAGTGTGTGCACTAGGAAAACGACTAAGGACCAACGAACGCAGAGATCACACAAGCACCCGTGCCTAGCCCGTAGTCTAGCTCCCGTTGATGTAGTTATCTCCGCACACAGTACCCATACCATCAGCAGCTCCGGTACCTCCAGTACCTCTAGCTCCAGCGCCTCCAGTACCAGCAGCACCTCCAGCATCAGCAGCACCAGCACCTCAAGTGCCAGCAGCTCCAGAAGCACCTCCAGCACCAGCAGCACCATCAGCCCCGACAACTCTAGTACCTCTAGTACGAGCACCTCCAGGACCAGCAGCTCCAGCAGCTCCAGCACCAAGAGCACCAACACCTCCAGTGCCAGCAGCTCCAGTACCCCCAGTCTCTCCAGCTCCAGCGCCTCCAGCACTAGTAGCACCAGTGCCAGCACCTCCAGTAGCACCTCCAGCACCACCAGCACCACCAGCTCCGGTAGCTCCAGCACCTCTAGTACGAGCACCTCCAGGACCAACAGCTCCAGCAGCTCCAGCACCAGTAGCACCAGCACCTCCAGTGCCAGCAGCTCCAGTACCCCCAGCACCTCCAGCAGCACCTCCAGCACCAGCAGCACCACCAGCTCCGGCAGATTCAGTACCTCTAGTACGAGCACCTCCAGTGAGGGGGTCTACCGGGGGGGGAACTGGTACCAGGAAGAGAGGCGCCAGGGGGACCGGGTGGGACGCGTGCGAGTGGAGCCTGTAGAAACAGACTGACTCGTCAAAGGTGACGTCCTGGGAGGAGAACACGCGATGCGAGAGAGGGTAATAAAACTGCCACGGCAGGGCGTCGGTGGGGAAGCCAAGGAAGGCGCAACGGAGAGTGCGAGGAGAGAACTTGCTCGCGGTGGTATCGCAAATAAGGGAGAGCGTCTCCCAGACCCAAAACGCCGACGCATCGCCAACCTCTCCTGTCCAACGGAGTGTGGGCGAGGTCTCTAGCAAAGAGACACGGGGCCAGAGGTTGAGCTGATGCGTGGCGTATCAGACCGCAAACGGCCACAGAAAAATGGGGAGCAGCCGCATAGATGATGGGGGTGCGAGCAACCTCCATCACCAAGCCAATGCGGCCCTGTGCAATCCCATTCTGCTGTGGAAAGGGTGGAAGCGTGAACGTCTGGCAGATGCCCTCGTCCCGACAAAACTCTGCAAGAAGGTCAGAAGAGAACTCACCACCCCTGTCAGAATGCAGACGCAGGACTGGAAGGTCCCGCCGAAACCGCTCACGCAGCAAGAGACGAGCAGCACGGATCCAGGGGATCAAAACATCAGTGACGTCTGCCTTGCTGCACAAGGGGAAGACTGTGGTGTAGCGCGAGTAGTCGTCAACGACCAGCAGGAAGTAGCGCTCCTGGTTCGTCCCACTGACACAGGCTGGGCCCCACATGTCCATGTGGAGAGTCTGCAGAGGAGTAGTGGACGGAGGAAACTCGGAGGAGTGAGGAGCGGCGCGCTGCCGCCCCTCGACGCAGGGAAGGCACGGCGGGGCAGGCGAGCGCGGGAGGGGGGGCAGAGACCTGGGAAGGCCGGAGACAAGGAGACGGGAGTGCATGCTACGCAGACGCGGCAGAGAGGGGTGACCGAGTCGGTGGTGCCAGAGGAGAGTCTAGTGGGAAAGTACCCGATACGAGCAAGACGCTGCAAGCTTACCATACGCAGACACCTGACTCGACGCAGCCACCTGACGTGACGCAGCCACCTGTGCAGACGCAGTGGTCAGGGTGTACTGACTGGACCCAGGATGCCGAGTGAATGTAGAAAGGTGACGTCCATTTCGGGAGCACGCACAGATCGCCACACGCTGTTTTTTGAAGGATAAAGGTATTAAGCCAAACATCCTGAAGGAATGCGTTGCTCACCAAGTTCGTCGAGAACGAGGGGAGGTGGAGGCCTGAAAGAGAGCAAGAGGGGACTGCCGGACACGGGAGGACAGTGGAGGCTCGCGCTACTACTGGGCCCCAAGTGGGGTCAGCCAGTGAGACTGGGACAGGTGCTGCGAGCGGTGTGACTGTGGTGCAATCACGAAAGAAGCAACGTGACGCTCCTGAGTCAAGTGTGAAAGTGTGCAAGGCCTCAGCTAAGGCAGGACCAGTGGCGGTAGACGCACTAGCACCTAGCGCTGCAGCAGACTCACTAGCACCTAGAGTGGAAGCAGACTCACTAGCACCTAGGGCTGCAGCAGACTCACTAGCACTTGGAGCGGCAGTAGACTCACTAGCACATAGAGCAGCAACCCTCTTTATACCCAGGGATGCCTCGCTAAGAAACACAGTCGCGAAGCCGATGCGGGGAGAAGGTCTCCTGCTGACGCCGCTGCCGCCGAGTCCAGGATATGTAAAACCAAAACCTCCACCACCAGCACGGACTCGCTAAACAACCCACTCACAAATCTGCTGTGGTGATAGAGTGTCCGGGTGAGGCAGTGGCTGCTGCTGTCCACCCCTAGACGATGCTACGACCGTGAGAGTGGCCATGACAGGCAGTCGCAGTTAGTAGCAGCGGCGCAAGGGCGTGAGTAGCAACTGCTGTAGCTGCAGCTGTAGAAGTGGCGGTGGTCACTGTGGTTGTGGAGGCCGGTAGGGTGCGCGGGCTGCAGGGCAGGGCGGCGCGCGGGCCTAAAGGCAGGGCATCGCGGCTCGCGGGCTGCAGAGCAGAGCGCGCGGGCCTAAGAGTAGGGTGGCACAGCGCGCGGGCTGCAGGGCAGGGCGGCGCGCAGGCCTAAGGGCAGGGCAGCGCGCAGGCCTAAGGGCAGGGCAGCGCGATGCACGGGCTGCAGGGCAGCTGGGCGCGGGCTGCGGCAGGGCGGCACTCGCTGGGCAGGGCAGCAGGGCGCGACGTGCAGGCTGCAGCAGGGCGCGACGTGCGAGCTGCAGGGTGCGACACGCGGGCAGTAGCAGGGGAGCGCACTAGGGCAAGCAGCGTGCGTGGCAGCAGGGCAGCGCGATACTGTGCGAGCAGGGCACTTCAGCGCAAGGGCGCTTCGGGCAGGAACGAGCGGAACTATCGGTCGGCCCTAAAAGCTTAACAGGTTTCCTGCTCTGAAACCATGTCAGATTAATCTGTGCAGGAATGATGAATGACTAGCAAGAATGAGATACAAGTAGTAAACCCTAACTAGGGTTGTACTCTATACTGAGCACCTCACTGTAGCCTAGCAGAACTAGGAACATACAAATATGTTTTGACAATCCGAGGCCTCCGCTTATATCCGGGGGCTTACGGTACACAATGTTGGTGAACAATACATTTGACCAATCCAAATGCAATGTAGCATCAGCAACGTGTGATTCCATCCAGTCATATAATCTGGAAGCAAACTGCAAATATTATGACACATGCGTAAACATAAGGAAGCTTATCTACAAACATGGAAGCCTCTACCAGTAGCTTATGCATGTAGTCAATAACATCTTCCAGCAGAATGGCTGCCTGTTTGTGAAGCCAAACCCTGCTCGTGCACGAGTATTCAGCTTGCGCGTAGAATCTCGAACCTTCAACCAAGGTTGTACATTTGTCTGTCAGCAGGTAGGCTGCTTGGGATTTCTAACTGTGCAACAGCAGGTGTTGCAAATGCGCCTGCATTCATGTTCCAAACTTCTTACCCCTTCACTACAATAGTGGACCCTCGCTTTAAGAACCTTGAAGCTCAAGGCTTGGGATGTGATGGGCTGAGGCTCAGCGCGAGCATTATTAACTGTAGTTATTGGAAGTATGTGCCAAGATGAACTCAGCGACTGTACCGGTATTGGAGGTATGCGAAGAGCCAAGACGAATGCATTCTCTCGATGAACCCCACTGAAGCATCCAGGGGAGTGGCCACGTGCATGCAAATGGCTGCACAACTAAAGCCTGTTCCGAACTTGGTCCTTGAGAATTCAAGGTAATGTGCTCGGAACAGACGCGCCATTACGAGGCCCGCAGCTGCCTCTCCAGCTCCAGCTTGTACTCGCGCATTCCCTCAATGAACCCCACGGCAGCATCCAGAAGAGTGGCCATCTGGGTGCGACTGGCGCTGCAACTCAAGTGGGCTTCAGTCATCCTGCCCCTTTCAGACCTGGACCTTGAGAACCCGATCCGACCAGACACCCTGTTACGAGGTTAGAAGCTGCCTCTCCAGCACCAGCTTGCACTCCAGCATGCCCTCAGTTAACCCCACAGCAGCATCCAGAACAGTGGCTACCTGCACGCGACTGGCTTCTCAACTGAAGCCTGCTGCAGAGCAGTCAGACGCTTGTGCATAAGCGTTGAGCTTATGAGGTAGGTAGTTCTCTCCAAAGTACTGTCACGTGGCCAGCACCTGCCTCTCAAGAGCCAGCTTGTACGCGCACATTCCCTCAATGAACCCCACAGCAGCATCCAGAAAAGAGTGCCTATGTGCGTGCAACTGCATGGTCAGCTGGTGGTGCCTGCTTAAGTTGTCCCGCCTCTTCAGACGAGACTTGGTCCGTGGGAATTAAAGTCCAGCAGCTGCCTCTCCAGCGCCAGCTTGTACGCGCGCATTCCTTCAATAAACCCCACGGCAGCATGCAGAAAAGAATGGCGATCTGCGTGTGATTTTTGAGGCGCCTCAAAAGCCGTTATGAGGCCAACAGCTGCCTCTCCAGCTCCAGCTTGTATTCGCGCATTCCCTCAATAAAACCCACGGCAGCATCCAGAAGGGTGGCGATCTGAGTGCGATTGCTGAACCCCGTCCGGCCCTGCTGCCTCAGCAGCACCTCCGCTGGTATTGCTGCCTTGAGGGCCTCTAACCGCTCTCTGTGAGCCACACATGGGAGGAGGAACGGGAGGGAAGGAGAGGGGGCAAGGCACACATTAGGCTGGCTATTGAAGTTGACTTGAAAGTGGAATCACTGCCTTGAGGGCATCTAACCGCTCACTGTGAGACACACATGGGAGGAGGAAGGGACGGGGCACAACAGTGTGAGCAATGTGTTTACACGCATGTGCCATCTGTCATGACCTGGTCAACCAGAGTCAACCATATTCAACTAGAGTCATCAAGAGTCAACACGAGGCTTCAAGTCAGCAAGAGTCAAGAAGCGTGAACATAACCGTGCCCTCAAGTCAGCAGGAGTCAACACACACATTGCACCGAACTCTCACCCAACTCACGTTATTCTGGACCGCCGCTGCTTCTCTGTGGCACTCTTCCCTGTGATCTGCCTCGCTTCTGCTGCTGCTGCTGCTGCTGCTGCTGCTGCTGCTGCAACAGCCCTTGCGCGTCCCACCCCTGCCCTTGGCGACTGGGACAACGGAGATGGGGTTGCACAGGGCGACTTAAAGCCCGTTTTTCCTCCTGGCGTTGATTCTCGGGGTGCTGCTGAGGGCGACCGAAACGCTGCTGCTGCCTGAATCTGTGGAGAATTTGGAGAGAACGGTTGCTGGGTGCGCGGCAGGAGGCCAGAGGACTTGGGGGGGAAAGGCTTGTGCGCGTGTGCCTGGAAGGACCCTGGTTGCACTGCTGCTGGTTGCACTGATGGTTGCATTAGGGAGGTGCTGCTGCGGGGGTGCTGCTGCGGTTGCGACAGCCCTTGAGACGGTTCAAAACGCAGCTCTGAAGACACGGAGCGGTGCAGAGCGGTGCTGCCAGGTGATTGCGCTTGGAGTCGCCTGAAGAGACTGCTAATAGCTGCTTGCCTCTGCTGGTGTGCAAGGGACGAGGTTGGCATTGCAGGAGCAGCTGGAGCAGAAGCAGCGGCAGCAACAGCATCACCACCAACAGCCGCACCACCAGCACCAGCAGCAGCATCATCATCAATAGCAGCAGCGGCACGAGGAAAACTGTCCACGCACCCATCAAGTCCCACCCCACTCTCCCTCTTGAAGGGATGCGGCGGCTTCACGAGAGCTGCAGCAAGCTGGTCCAATGGGTGTTGTGGCAGGCACACGCCAGCACGTGTTGGGCTCACACCAGCACACGTTGGGCTCACACCAGCACACGTTGGGCTCACACCAGCACGTGTTGGGCTCACACCAGCACGTGTTGGGCTCACACCAGCACGTGTGGGCAACGTGTCAGGGTGGGTGGCGTCCAGGCCAGAGTGTGTGGGGCTCATGCTGAGACGTGTGCGGCACATGCCAGCGTCTCTTGGGAAGGCGGTTGCAGCAGCAGCAGCAGTTGCAGCAGGAGTGGCAGCAGCAGCAGCAGTCCAGGAGGAGGGCACTGCAGCATGTGTGCTTCTTGCCACGAAGGTTGCAGAGGTTGGGCCGGCCATAACAGCAGCAGGCACTGCTGCTGATTCTGCACTCCATGGCGCTTCGTGCCTGGTTATACTGCTGCTAGAGAATACAGCAGCAGTTGCAGCAATAGCAGCAGTAGCAGCAGCAGCAGGAGGGGGAGGAGGAGCAGGAGGAGGAGCAGCAGCAGCAGTTGCAGCAAGAGGGAGGCCAGAGTCAGCGGCAGTAGGGTTACCACGTAACCTCTTCCTCACCTGAAGAGCCTCCATATCCGCAAGATCATGAATCTGGGCGGCTAACAGCCTTCGCTTCGTGCCAAAAGATGGCACAAAGCTGGGACTGCAGCGAGCCCTCAGCGCTGTTGATGGGTGGAGGACCGGGGGAAGGGACGGCGGGGTGAAGGAGCGACAAGCAGGGGGAGGAAGGGAGGTGTTGGGTGGCGAAGGAAGGGGCGAAAGGGAACTGCCGCAGGTCTCATTCGAGATTTGAACCAGCAGGGGGGTGGTTGGAGATAGCTGCCCCAGAGCACCATACCCATCCTGCAGGAGCGCTGCAGAGGGTTTTTGAGGCGCCTCAAAAAGCGCTGCAGAGGGTGTTGTCTCTGCAGCCGAACTCTCTCCTTCACTCTCTGTTGCCAACAGCGCTGCATGCCCCACGATTAAAGCCGGCTCGGTGTCACCCAGCCCTTGCCACTGCGCCGTGGCGGTCAAAGCGGAGCCACCCAGTGGCAGTCCGAGGTGCGCCGCGGTTAACGCAGGCTCCAAGTCACTCGGAAATTGCTGCGCGGCGATCAAAGCAGGGCCACCCAGTGGCATTCCAGGGTGCTCGGCGCGCTGCAGAGCTGCTTGGATGAGGCTCAGCTCGTTCCGGCTTATGCTGCTCCAATCCGCTGCCAGCGCGCCGCCGCCTTGCAGCTCCCCCTTTTGAAGCACGTCGAAGCATGATGCTGGTTTCCCCGTTTGAGGTGCGTTGGGGAATCCTGGTTCTCCCGTTTGAAACCGAAGCGCCACGTTGACTGAGTCCATGAGGAGAATGAATGGCAAAAGCTTCGGACGAACTGTCGATGTCGTAGCCGCAGGAACGGAAAAATTGTCTCGCAGAGCACTTTCCGGAGATCGTACTTGGAAAGTCTGGAACCGGACGTCGCTGGAGTGAAAAAACTGTCTCAAACAATCACGCATCAGCTCAGTCTAGTACTAAAATCGCGACACAGTTCACTACTGACTCGAGAATGCTTTGGAGTGGGGAGGAGGAGCAGCAGCATTCTCGCGGCGCGAGGTGGGACCGATGGGCTGGCCTTGAGTAAGAACAACTTGCAAGCGAAGCGAGCAATCTGCTGCGTGAGTGCGTGTGAGACAATAGCTGGACGACATTGTTAGGAACGCCTGGACGGAACTTTAGCCTGCTAGCTGTCAGCTTTGACAAATGAGGCTGCTGACAACCGGCGTGAAGAATGTTCCTGACGACGACACCGAGTTAGAAGTTCCGTCTGTCAGAACCAGTGTTCGCGGCATGCGGTGCGCCGCAATTGTGGACATTGTTTACCCCGCGCATGATAACGTGACGTGATGTCGTCATGATCATGACGATCATGACGCCGCGATGATGCCACCGTGTGTATCTGCAGCCCTGGTGGTATTTGCACGGCGCCAGCCCAACATGGTGACCTAATCTAATGTTAGCCCGCCACGTCACCGAAAGCGCGATGTTGTGAATGCACCATGACTCTACAAAATGTGTGACGCCACATCCCATGCCCAAAACTGGGTTTTCCCCCACTATGCGCACTCACCATTGCACGAGCAACGAATTAGGTCACCTGAAACACTGTTTAGGAGGGCAAACAGTGCTTTAGTATTGCTACACATGTCGCAAACTATGTACCCCCTTCCCCATTGTCTCTGCAGCTACCAGCAGCAATTCGCAACGAACCAGTCACGCACGTGAAAATTGACTACAGAGAATTTTACTTCGGTTCTGCTGGATGTAGAGTGGTGTACTTGGACTGCCGCGAGCTCACCGAAATTGCATGACGCCGGGATCTAAATTCGCATCTGCATAATAGCTTCTGCGTTATAACAAACACAGCTATACCGAGATTTTTACAGGATAAGGGTTGCTGACGCGTCAAAAGCACTCACTCTGAAGATGCGATGTCACAATTGGATTTGACAGCCCAGACTGGTTTGGACTTCTGTGGCGAACAGAAACCCAAAAGGCAGAAGGTTTCCGTAATTCGCCAAGCTTCGTCATGATTCGTCTGAGCCCGCAGGAGAGGTTCATTCCAACTGTCCAAAGTTTCGACGACCTCGCGAACAAATTCGCCTTCGACAATCTTCACGTGCAACCCAACACCTTAAAACTCTATCCACAGCTCACCACTCGTTCATTCCTTCTTGATTCGATTTCATGCCCCGTCTTCCCAATTGTCGCTCTCCTCTTCCCTCCAGGGTAGCTATGGCTGACGTTGTTTAGCGTGCACGGTGCTGTGGCTGCTGCTGTCAATCCGTTCCTCCCAAATGTAAAAGTTCCTCAAATATGTGCCTATATTCTGTTCTTTCATCTTCCCTCCAGCAGGATATCGAAAGTACGCGGTGGCGGACGATTTCTGCTGTGAACCTTGCCCTGGCTGCATGAAACCTGCTAATACGCTACCTTCTCGCTGCCTACGCGCGCCGGTCCACTCATGCGCAAATCTTGTGAGTTTATTTTCCAGGTACGTACGCATTGGCTAATGCGACCTTGTGAGTACCTCTTTCTTTGCAGAATACTAGGGCTCATCACAAGGCTCTACATCAGCGATTTCCGATACTATCGTCAACCGTCCGTTAATATTATTGGCAATTTACGGTTTTTGTTCTTCAGAAGATGAATCGCCAATTTTTCGCCGAGTTTATCACGGTTTCTGGAGGTGCTTCCTGCGGTGCAGAGCGGAGCTTATGGACGGCATACATGATCGGTAGGTTCATGTCGCAAGAGTTTTTTTGTTACCTAACTCTGCTGTGTGTTTTGGTGCTCAGGGCGTATCCCTGGGTGGTGGCAGGGCCACTGTAGCAGGCACTGTTGGTGGCATGCGGTTTTCCCGCATGCCACCAACATTTTCTCCGAGGCGCGCGCGACACGAATTTGGTGACATTTTGGGGACATTGCCCAATCACGAACCTGTATTTGGGCACCAGTTTCCTGACACCAACCTGACGTCCTATGTGTTGGTGGCAGGTTGCCATCTACAGTTGCCCTGCCACCACCCCAGGGATATGCCCTCAGTGCAGGGCAGAACCCTCTTGTCCGACATAAGCTGTCCGTATCGAGATGTTACATATGTTTTATGTGGAAATGTTGTGCGCGGGTATCTAGTATCTTTTGTTTTCAATCATAGGTACGGCATGCCTGCCAGGTCTTGTGATTATGGCTCATCTTTGTAATTTTGAGTTTTAAAACAAGACAAAAGGGATAACTACCAGTTGTAGTAGAAACGTAATATTGGATACCGCATCAACGTGCCCCCAATTGGCAGGCAGTAATTTTTATTTTTGCTTTTTTTTTTTCTTCAATTGAGCTGCGTGTGTACTGTGATCATTAATCCGCTATAGAAACTTCTTGAAAAGGGATTCTCCCGTTGCTATAGTGAGGATGAGCAATGGTTGCCGTATGGTGAGGCACTCCTTGCCGAACCTGCTCAAGATTGCTCAGGCAAACCTTTTTATGATTCCTCGAACAAACCTCAACTGTTCAGCATTCCACATGATAAACCACAAGCATTGATGGCAGGGGAAAACATCAAACAATCCCTGTGAAATCTTTTTTCATTCCTTTTCCTTCTGACATTTTGTAGAGGAACTGTAACAGCCGTACCGTACTACCACTGTGTAGTAGTGCCAGATGGAGGGATTATTGTTGGGCTCGGTACGAGAGACAGAGATGGAAAGAAGATCGCGTTGTACACGTACGTGTTCACTTCACTAACGAGATCATCTCGTGGCTCTGCTCACTGACTACCGAGCTTGACTTCGGTTGGATAAAATCACTCTGGGGCAAGTCTCGGTGAACCTCGCTGGTATGTTGTCAGTTTAGGTCAACTGCGAGACCAGTTCGAGCCATGTTTTCGTAGGTTGCCCCGAGGTAACCTACGTTGGGGGTGAGTTGGGCCCCCCCACAATTTTTGAGACGATGTTGTCGAGATCCCGCCTCACCTGTACACATCAGGCGCGCATTTCCTCATCAGGCCTCTCCTTTTGTTTTGGCCTACCCTGCATTTGGCCGGGTGAATTTCGAGCCAGCCCTGAATTCAACGCGTTTTGGCCCTAAAACCCTAAGCCTGGCAGCGTGCGGCCCAGGGAGGACCCGCTCCTGCCAGGGTAGGCCCGAAAAAGTACCCTAATTAGCAAGGTATTCATGGAAAAACACCCTGAAAAAGAGAGCCCTAGTACACGTAGCCATATCCACACTACTGCGCTGCACGTGCGCGGGAGACGCAATAAGTGAGACAAGCGTATCTAAAAGAGATACAGTCGATGCTCAGCCTATCACAAAACATTTGCTCCTCACAATTAGAATTTTAGTCACTCGCGAACGTTTTGCCCGTGAGTGACTAAATTGACCATTGTGCCGATTTCAGGGTACAGTCACCAAGTTGAGGAAGAAAAACATCTACAGTTCATAAACAACGACGGTTGCCCGTCATCAGAGAAGTTAACCTGGTTACGAAATTAAAGCCCTTGACTCAATTCACGTTGCAATTTCATATTACAGTCACATTTTTGCCCGTGGCGACAAGGGCGAACGTGGCGAAATGACTCAAACTCGTTTCACGCACATGCCGCCCGCCTACCTGGTGTTCTTGAAATGGGCACCGACTGTACCAAGGCCAGTGGCAGTAACAGTATCAAACTGCCCTCCTAGGTCTGCAAAGTCACCTCTGACCTGTAGTCCCGTCCGACACCCGCGCCCATTCCCAGCTGATGTCGCAAACGAGCTCACGTCACTTCGCCAGATGGAAAGCTCCTGGAAAGAGGCATGCCAGAAAAATAGCTAGGTGAACGGGTGAATCGTGGGCGGACGAGTCAAAATTGACTTGAAGAACTGTACCTGAGCAATCAAGATATGACGTTCATAAGAGCAGGTAAACATGATTGCAAGAGCGCCACGGCGATTGGAGCAAGCTCGGATGCAACTCACAAGGATGAACACCCTGTTCTTGATAATTTTACACCCCCGAATCCCGAACCGCACAAAAATTTGCCTGAGAGGGTGTGAAATTATCCGGGCAAAAAAAGTTAATAATTTCACACACGAGGCGCGAATGTGTTGTGCTGACTGGGCCTCGAAATGCAGGAACAGTTTGACGAACTGAGGACTTTGTGCTGACAAGGATTAGAGTTGAAAATGGATGTTGACTGATTCTCCGAATTTTTAACCCCAATGAAAGATGAGCACGTCGAGTTGCTTATCTCAATTCGGACCAGTCAGAATCAACTAAAATCCCTGTCGAAACTTAGAGTCAGATAGCTCTCATTCTTCATGGGTCCTCAGGTTGGTTACTGGAGTGAACTCTATACCTTATTCATTTATTCGAGCTTTGTAGAATGACAAACAGAATGAAACTACGTTACTTATTCGAAACTAGACGCGACTTAAGTTGAACCCAGCAACCCCGTTCCACCCCACTCCTCGGAGTATAAAACGCCCTCTTTCTCGCATTTCCATTCAGTGATGTTCAACCATGCTTCGCCAGCTTGGCAGCCCTAAGGCTTTGCCGAAGTAACCGAAGCGCGGTTTGAAATTAGGGGGTGTGAAATTATCGAGAATAGGGTGAGCTCCCAACGTCGATATTGATCGTACTAAGTAGGGAAGGAAGTGTCGCCACCCTCAAGTGAACCAGGCGCGAGAAGAAGGTGGTTGCCCTTGATTCGATGATTAAACCGGTCCCGTTGCGAAAATACACGATTGGCTGTCCAATGCTAGAAGTCTGCAAATACTGATTCAGCTCGAGGATTTTGCAAAACAGAGATGCAGAACTACAACA